GTGGACTGTAGCCCGCCAGGCTCCTCTGTCCATGGGTTTCTCCAGGCAGAATACTGGAGCAGGTTACCAAGCCCTCCTCCAGGGGGTCTTCCGGACCCAGGGATCGAACCCAAGTCTCCTGCATTGCAGGCAGATTCTTTACCTTCTGAGCCAGCAGGGAAGCCCATGGAGGAGATAGATGGAGTTATTCTGTGTGATGAGGCAGCCTCTCTGACTTGTTGATTAACACCACAAGAGGGGCTGGTACCTACGGAGGGGAGAGAGCCCACCCCAGGAACCGGGTAGGGGACGCTCAGCCCTTTCTAAGACCCCTTGTCTGCTGTGGGAGGGGATGGTTTCTCTTCCGGAAGCTTTTCCTTATATTTTCCAGCTCTCTCCTATTTTCATCTCTAGATCCATGCCTGTTTTCCTGAATGCTAGGCCCACAATGAGCTTTTCAAAAGTTTACCTCACCTGATGTTTGGAGGCAAAAAGTTTCCCTAATAAATTTTCTAGAGAGGAAGTTTGCTGCTTAGGTGTGAGAATCTATGAGTTGCAGACCATTTTTAATCAAAAATTCTAAAAAAATGCAGTCTTCTGTTTTCAGATGCTAAATGTTAACTTTCCATTCACACAGCTTCAATTGGATTAGCAAATGGGCCCATTCACCCCTTTTATAAGGAGGAAGGTGGGGTGATTTCACCAGTGATAAATAGTCCAGACTACTGGCTGTTTTCAAGGCTTTGAAATACCCTTTCCTTCATCTGTTTTGTGTCTAACAGATTCCTCCTCCTCTAAGCTTATTTGTAAATTAGCTAATTGAGCTTGTATCTTGGCTAAGAAGAAAGAAATGCTCTATGTGAATGTCTTGATTAGTTTGGTTTCTCAAGTGCTTTTGGCTCTCTTTTATGTATTTGAGGTTCTTCTGCAGTTATTTTCTAGGTATTTAGCAGTCTGTGTTTCTCTGTCACCTTGGTTATGACATGTGGGATGATCTTCCTGGTTTTGTGTCAGCAGGAAAGAAGGAAAAGCTGCTTCTGCTGCTTTTTCCTGGGTGCTGTGGTTCCCCCTGATCTGGAGTGTTGGCATGACCCTCTCCATCACTTCTAAGTGGACATGTCAGCAGGTCTTAGAGGGATTACCAGTAGCTGCCTGGTGACTGAGGTTTGCAATATGCAGTGTTGTTGGATTTAGTCTTTTCTGCATGCTTTAACTTGACTACAGGGTTGACAAGAGGTACCAGTGTGCAGGTAACCCAGAAAAATTCTGAAGGTATGTTCCTTCTTGGTGAGAAGCTATAGTTGATGAGGCCACTCCTGAGATTGGCAGTGGCTTTTTAAATGAAACGTGGAAGGTGGTAAGGCTCTACCCAGGCCGTGATGCGGAAGGGAGAATTGGCACCAGCTTATTGTTTGAGCCAAGGGCATCCTGACCTTTCTGCCCAAGGCTTGATGATAATATCAAGCACTGGGCTTTTTCCTCCACTAAACGCTTCTCTTTTCATCACAGGAGTCTCTCCATTCCTCTTCTTATTTGAGCATCTATATTTTCTTTTATTTTGTTGATGCTTTCTTTAGGTCCAACCAGCAAGGCATTTAGGAGAAAACCCCCATTAGGAGAACCCATTCCTTCATAGGGTGAAAGCGATCGCTTTTATCCCTTGTGCCCCCACGCTTGTTTCCTTTCCACCTCTGACTGCAAAGCCAGTCCCATCAGAAAAAGTCTTGTATTATTCTAAGTTTCGCTTTAGGAGTGAATTCCTCAGGGAAAACTCTCCCCACCCCCTTCCCTCGTCGTCTGTTTCCTACTTCATATTTCTCTTCCAGAATATCTGTCTTCTGGAACATATATCAGGTTACATCACTTTGTGTATACTTGGCTGAGAAGCTGTTTAAAGAAATGGATTCATAAGGTTGGTTGCTTTCTTCTTTTGTTAAAATTACCCTATATGCTTTCTTTAGGATATTAATGAAACTTGGGTTCTGAATTGAACTCCTCAACATTTCCTCCATTTTACTTCTTTGGCATAAATATAGTGCTCACTGCTTTCTCAGAGTCTTGAACGTAAGGAATGTGATGCTTCATGTATTGGGTTTGAGTTTCAAAATATCCTCAACAGACTCTGTAGGTGGCAGTTACCTCTTAATTTCTCATGTGGTTCATGTGGATTTTGCCCAATTCTCTTGGAAGCAGACTTGCTTTGCTCCCAAATGGCCTCAGTTGCAGAGTTTATTCCCTTCTCTCCTGATCCTGGTGGGATGGAGCAAGGCTTACTTCCTGAAATTCCATCCTGCAATCCTGCTTCCCTCCAATAGAGGGCAGAGTGAGCTGTGGACGTTACTGCAGGGTCTACACACACCTGCCCTGCGTGGGACGGTAATGATCCGCTTTCTGATTTCAGCCGCCGGTCAGTGCATCTGACATAGTGTACAGGGAGGCTTTTCTTTAAGAGAAGTTAGGTGTGGCTATTTTGATCTTGAAGGAACTTGAAGAAATGTGTTTAACCTCTTTCTTATTTTACTGAAGAGGAAAATTTAATGGCTGAGTCTGTCACTTCCAAGTGTTGAGTCCCCAGCTCTGTCTGACAGCATGTAATGTGTTGATGTCATGTCACATGCTGGAATGAGTTGGAGTTTATGGGAAATTTCCTCTCCTTTCTTTATTTTTGTTTTAACTCTGAACCTCTTTGAGCACTGAAATAAGGTTTCTTGGTTTTTTTCCTTAAATACTTAGATTTATGGGACTTCCATATTGGTCCAGAGGTTTAAGCCTTCACCTTCCAGTGCAGGGGGTTTGGGTTTATCCCCGGTGGAGCAGCTAAGATCCCACATGCCTTGTGGCCAAATAACAAAACATGAAACAGAAGCAGTTGTGTAATAAATTCAGTAAAGATTTTTTTTTAAGGATAGATTTAGGAAACGGCCCATCGGTGTCGGTACATTTGACCTTGGAGGTACATACTTTGTCTGTCTCTGTGAATGATATGCTCTGACTGGAAACTTTTTTAAGTACGAAGCTGGGAAGGATGGTGTCACTTCTGTTTCTATTCAGTCTTGTACTAGTTGTAAAACCACTTAGTACAAGGGTAAATATATTGTTCAAGTGGGGAAAAGGCCAGATATTTCCTCCTCCTCTTTTTTTTTTTAAAGCTTCATCTTCTAACTTCTACTTGATCAGATGGTTTTCCCCAAAGCCTCTGACAGACCTTCCTTCTGTTGAGAACCTCCTTCTAATTGAAAATGATCAAAGGGGGGGAAAACAAAGGAAATGGCTTTGGTCAGAGTGTCTCCAGTTATGTTATACAGAGTGTTTGTCACACATATCCCTTTGGAGTTTCATTTCCATTCAGTGCTGTGACCCAAATAACTTGTGGGCTGGGGTGTTTGAATATCAGTAAGTCATGCTGACAATAGTGGAAGGTGCTGTCTTTGTCTTTGCATTTTCGGGAGCTGGGCAGTTGTGGTTTGCCACTTGAGTGCTTCGACGCTGCTCGTTCATGTCCATCTCGTTAGAACAGGTAGCCCTGATGCTGGAATGGTTAAATTAGCCATTGTGGTTCAAGTTTGAGATCCAGTTTGGGAAGGAGAGCACATTCAGTTACTTGAATCTTGACTGATACTCCTGAAGTGTTGGCTCATTCACAGGAAGCTGGCAAGAGAGGAAATGAACCTCACACTTATTCTTCTGTTCTTGATAGCAGCTCTCCTCCGGATACTTAATGGGAAAGAAAATGAAAGTTATTGCCAGAAATTAACTCAGGGGTTTCACAGATTGATCGATTAATCAATAAACCAATTAACTGACTAATTAATTATTTAAAAAAATTAACAGCCTTTGGTCCCAAACAGTATACCAGTGAATGGACAGATCTCCTTCTGAAAATTCATGATTTGATAAAGAAGAACGGTATTGTGCTTCTTTGTAATATTGAGCTTGTTTTCTGGTGTTACTGTTCTGTCTTAGGTTCAGAAGCAAAAACATTTGGAGATGAGGTTAAGGTGTAAAAGGAGTAAGGGATTGGGTTCTATGAAGAGGTTTCTTTGATTTTTAAATTTATTTAAGCCAGTCTTCTAGTTAGTGTTATGCAGGAATTTATTTTAATAATTTTACATGCTATTAACCTGATCATAATATCAAAGTGGCTTCCAAATATATTGTGATTTTGGAATCCATATCTGTCACTCACCCCCTATGAATATGAGACAGATTCCTTTTATAAGGATATATCATATTTCGTTTTTATCACTTGTCTCTTTTTTTTTTTCATTTTACTTTCATTTGCTTAAGTTCATACTTTTTAAGTCTAGATGATGTAACCCAGAATAGTCTCATGTCTTTGATACTATGGGTAGGGGTTTTTTTGTTTTGTTTTGGTTTTGGTTTTTTGGCTCAATTAAATCTTTTTTTCCTCCCTCCCTTCTCAAGAATAGTCAAATGAGGTTTTAAAATTTTTGATATGTTTGGTGAATGGCATCGTCCCTCCTCCCTGCTGGGGGATTTTGCTTGAAATCTGTTAAAAGGACACAGAGTTCTGTTTCCTGGGGGATGTTTGAAAAATAAAAATGGCAGTAGAGATGAATTGCTTTATCTGCTTGGTCATGAGGATGTAAGTTTGTAATTTAATACATGGGTCTGCTTGGGCTTCCCTGATAGCTTAGTTGGTAAAGAATCCACCTGCAATGCAGGAGACCCCAGTTCAATTCCTGGGTCGGGGAGATCCACTGGAGAAGGGATAGGCTACCCACTCCAGTTTTCTTGCGCTTCCCTGGGGCTCAGCTGGTAACGAATCTGCCTGCAATACGGGAAACCTGGGTTCGATCCCTGGGTTGGGAAGATCCTCTGGAGAAGGGAAAGTCTACCCAATCCAGTATTCTGGCCTGGAGAATTCCACGGACTGTACAGTCCATGAGGTTACAAAGAGTGGGACCCAACTAAGCGACTTTCACTTTCCACTTGAAGTGGGCTCTGGAAGGGGTGGAGACTCAGGCCGGTGTTTATTCCCCTCCTTTTGACCCTGTCAGGTTCTCCTGCGCTGCCCAACAGCATGGTGTGTTTTGGAAGCTCTCAGGATGAGGAGGACGTTGAGGAGGAAGATGATGAGACAGAAGACGTCAAAGCAGCCACCAACAATGCTTCATCTTCATGCCAGTCAACCCCCAGGAAAGGAAAAACCCACAAGCATGTTCACAACGGACATGGTAGGTTCACTGTTGAATTTGGATTTAACAGATAAAATCCAAAGCTTTGAGTGAAAAGTGGAATAGATCATATGTTGAGAAGATGATCAAGGTGGCCGAGTTGGGTTAGTGATGTTTCACATACTTCTTTAAGTAACACACATTTAACGGCGAGATCGGCCGGTATAAAACAATTGAAACAATTGTGTTTGAGATAAATAGATTGTTGGATACATATTCTTAAGTTTGTGAAGGCGATGGTAAATTCCAGAAGAACACGGATGTAGGAATTGGAGGAGGAAGATATCTCATCTGAACAGTGATGCTGTTGTCATTTCACTTAACGGTTCTGATTCCAGCAGTTATCCAGCATGTGAAATCAGGGGCATGCATGTGTAGACTCATTTTTTCCCCCTGACTATCAACATTTCAAGGGCAGGACACATAGCCCCAAAAAATAAGAACAAAGGGTTGACTGTGAGAAAAAAAAAGTATAAATGAGTTGACCGTGGAAAGTGCCCAGTGGTTTTTCAACAGGGAGCTGACTTAATCAGAGTTATATTCTGAAAAGATTAAGCTGGCATCAATTAAGAGGATTTCATAAAGGGAAATGATTTCAAGAAGAGGAAACACATTGAAAGGCTGTAATTGTAGGCAATTACCTGGCTCAAGGTAACAGGGGAGTAAAAGGTGGCAATATAGATGGGAGGATATAAGTACAAAAATTTGGAGGCAGAGAAATACTGCAGGGGTGGGGTTGAGAGAACTTGATGAGTAACTGGATTAGCGTGGGGTGTGGCGGGGGGGTGGGAAAGGAAGTGAGAGGGAAGAGCATGATGCCCGCAGAGGTAATGCCTGCTTTCTGTGAGCTCTTACCCAGCTTCTCTGCTCAAGAGCGTATTTCCCTTGGAACTCACAGAGCGCCTGGAACGTAGAGCGTCCACATCTACAAACGACAGAAAATCAGCGCTGCCAGTAAGTGATTGAGGCAGAGGAAAGTTCTTCTCATTCTTGTCCTTCACAGCTGAGCCTTAGCCACCCCTAGCCTTTCTGGACTCGATGGGAAGTTGACCCGTAGCACCAGCATCACTTGGATGTGACGGGAATCTGGCCACCTGCACTGCTGTTGACATTTCTGCCTTGACAGTTGCATGATTTTTTATTTGTCCTGCTTCCTGTTTAGGGCTATGTTTAGGTGCCAGAGATGGCAGAGATGTGACTTAAAGACCCTAGAGTTTGTTGAGGAGATGAGGTTAGTGATCTCAGTATTTCTCAGCCTCCTTATCTATAAGGAAGGTACTGAGTGAAGTGTTTGAATAGCCTCTGTTAGCTGTGTGTAGACCTGTTCATGTTAAGGGGTGGCTTCTTTAACTAGTGGGTGGTCTCAGAAATCTCCTTGGTGAGAGGGCAGACCAGAGAGCTGTTTTCCATGAATGACAGGAGAAATAATAGATTTTAGGGTGTGTCCATCTACATTATCTTTTGATCCCATCTGCTCTCTCTCCAGCAGAGTCACTGGGAGGTGCTCGGGACAGGAGGCATTTCTTGCTTTACAGTTGAAGAAAGGGAAGAGCTAATGTCCTGTACCCATCACTAACAGTGGCCGATTGCAGATGAGAGTCAAGAGTTCTGACATGCTCCCTGCCCCAGAGAGCGCCATCCTCTTGTGAGGGTGAGCACGTGGACAGTCTGTGGTGTGCTGGTGGAGTTGCACTCCGTCCGGTTGACAGCGGCGAAGAGCCGGTGCCTGGGACCCCGGCTCTGTCTGGGTCTCCACTGGCACTGCTGCCGCGCGGCTCTCATGTCTCTGGAGGGTTCATGTCTTAAAAGTCCCAGCGGATGGCGGTGCCTCCTTTTTGTGAGGCCAGTGGAAGGAGGGGGCTGAAGCTGGCTCAGAAATACACAGGCTGTTAGGAAAGCTCCTCCAGTTTCACGTGACTCGGAGGAAGTTGTTTTTTAAAAAGAGAAGTCTGCTTTGGAGAAAGCCAATTGCAGCCTCAGGTACAGTATTTTAGAAACACGGTGAGCTTTCAATACCTATTTAGCTGAGCTCATTTACCTACCCTGTTCTACATCCTCTGTGACATCAAGAAGGCCCAGGACAAGGGCACAGACTGCCACCACCACGTTATTACAGCATGACTTAGTGATGCTGGGGAGTAGGTCCCCAGCAGGAGGGTGTAAGGAGATTGCTTAAAACACTGTATTTACCACTAGAGAAAGGAGTTATTGATATTACAGGGCCATGGCCCCAAAGTGGTGAAACTAGAATGCAGTCATCTTTGAAAACCAAACATTCAGCTGTGGAATACTGTTTCTTTCACAGCCGTTTCTTGATAATTGAAATTATACTGTAACACCAAATTGCATAATGCACACATTTGTTCCCCCCACCCCCACCTTTATCCTTTTCCATAAGGTCTTTATCAGCATCAAACAGTCATCATGAGCTTCCTTTCCTGACCTTTTTAAGGCTTAATTAGCTGTGTGGTATGTATGTAATTTCTCTGATTCTTAATTTTCTCTTGTATTGTAAACAAGCAAGGTAGCCTAGATGGGCATTCATTTGTTCCTTCTCTGATTTGTTCCTTCCTTCACTTATTTTTGTTGTTGTTCAACTCTTTGTGACCCCATGAACTGCAGCACACCAGGCTCCCCTGTCTTTCACTATCTCCCGGAGCTTGCTCAAACTCGGGTCCTTCATTTATATTCTCAAATAAAGAAATAATTATGGCCGTTGTCTCATGTACAGGCATCATTACCCTTGAGATCTGTTAACGGTGGATGTTGGGCATTGCTGTCTGTTCAAGGGAAGTGGCTTTTCCAAGAAGATCCAATTAGCTGGGTGAAGGTCCCTAAAATTTTGTTTTTCTCCTCTGAGACAGTAGTATGTTTTTCAGATTAAAAATGTTTCTCTCCCACCCTGTTTCCACTGCTTTCCCATTCTCACTCATACTTTGTCTTCTTGCTCCTGTTTTGACCCATAGGAAGCTTGGTGCAGAGTTGTGTCCACTAGAGCGTCAGCAGTGAACCCCAGGACTCCAGTGGTTTTCACAAGCAGTCAGGCCCGGACCCCCGAGAACTCTGTTTCCATGATTAATACATACAGATCAAACATGGCAAGATTCCCATAGCAGTTTAAACTTGTCTTTCCTGCTCTGTGGTTTATTTTTTTTTTTTTAATTGAGACTCTTTCTTCTGTAACTATTGAGCAGAATTCCTTGAAATTCCTTGTAATGGGATTTAATTATGGGTACCCATCAGTTGCAAAAGTGAATGTTTGTTTAAATGCCCCATAAGACTACAGAATGACCCAGATATTCCTAAGAAGGTTCACTTGGGATAGAAAGTGGTGGGAGTACAGGTGGTGTTTACCTGATCTGTTGGCATGGCCTTGGGCCAGTGGTTGTATCGGTAAAGAAAGCAGTTGGATGGTAGGTGGTATCTATGAGGCAGCGGCTCAGGCTTACCCAGGACCAGTGCCAGCCCACTTGTTTCTTCTGGGGTCCGGAGGAGGTCTCCAAATTCAGAGAAATGAACTTTTCTGGTTCAGGTTCTGAGGGTACCTTGCCTCGGTGTGTAAGGCACCAAGGCCTGGTCGCGCTCCGCCGAGCAGCAGGCTGGTGTGAGTTGCCGAGCCGTGGGCCGGGCCACATGGACTTGCCCCTCTGCAGAGCGGGTGAGGCCCTGAGCCTGGCAGTTGTTGAGGAGGCCGTGACGCGCTCCACCCCTCGGCCCCCGCTCGCTGGCTGTGGAGGGTGCTTGGGGAGCGTGAGCGAAGACTCATTCTCGAGGCCAAAGTTGGTTCTCAGAGTGTATGGAAAGAGATATGGGGTGCAGCCTGTGAGTGAGATGAGGGTGTCCCTTTTCCCCCTCCTTCCTTTTTGATTGATTTTTGATACTTGCCTTATGTTAACTCCTTCATTTTCCCAAAAGAAAAATCTACAGACCGATCATCTCCATTTCCTTTTGATTTGTGACTCAGGTGAAAAATGTGCACGTGTTAGAGCAGATTTTCTAAACAGGAAAACCTGGCTGAGGCCATCATCACCGGGGAGTCAGGCAGGTTCTCAGGATTGCGAACTTTTTCGCACAAGAGTAGGCTGCTTTTTCGTTCTCCTTGACGCTGGGTTTCTCTTGTCTGGTGGTGCTTCCCCCTGCTTTGTGAGCTGGAGATGTGAAGTGTGTTGGGAGATCCGGCATCTATATCCTCCTCCCAGAAGCGGAAGTAAATGCACAGAAAACATGGGGAACACTTTATCATGGGGGTAGCTTTGGCCCCAAACCCTGATCTGCCTGCAGATCCAGAAAAACGGTTTTATTTAGGCTGTGCAGGTTTGAAGGGAGGGGAACTCAAGATGCCAACGGTGTTCTGCTTTATCTCGTTTCTCCCCTGAACTTGAACCTGCATGGGCAGCAGCAGGGCTCCTGGAAGCCAATGCAGGAGAGAAGGTACACCCCTGCCCCCTCCCTCCCCCTCCATGTCTAATGGCCCAGCCTGGGGCAGACCCAGCTCCCTGGGGGGTCTGACCCCTGACCCCAGCAGTCCCCTGTAAGAGCCTGGTGTCCCTAGCAGTTGTTTAGTTGTGCAGACGTTACAGAGGACCCTGATGTTCTCATTTATAATCCAGTGGGCATCCTAGTGGAAATGGATTGTGATTTATTAAAACACATGGTCTGAAGTGACACAGACAGCATCATGTATGCTCATAACCTTGGCTTCACACTCAGGAGTCACAATAGCAATGCCTCCAACAACTGCTATTTTGAGGACTCTCTTCTTGAGTTTCCGAAATACCCCTCCATCTACAGAGCCTGAGATGATCCTCGCAGGAGAGCACTTAGGTAATCTCTGTTTTGGCCACCAAACAACACAGTCAAAACGGGCCTCTGAGTATTTGTGTTGCAAGTTAATATTTGAAGTGACTGTTTGAGAAGTTCTTGTCATTGGTAATTGTTCTTCAGCAGGGTAAGTGAGATGGGGTAGAGGAACTAATACGTCTGTCTAAAAGAGTCTGGCT